CTACACTGATGTGGGGAAACAAAAAACAAAGTTGTATCAAACAATTAGAAATGAAGCCGTTATTCACTTTGACATGACAGAACAGTCAGCAATGAAAACAGATGAGACACACAAGAAATACCTTGAGTAACAACGCAAGGTGGTAGTCCTTTGAGATCGTGAAGAAGGAAGCAGTAGAGGCGTAAAGTAAAAGAAGCAGAGGTGAGGTTTATTGAAGCTAAGGTTCATACGCCATTTAGAAAAACAGTCTTTTATTCTTGTGGCAAATCACAAGCAGCTGGAGAACCAAAACCAGCACAAGCCCCAAGACAACTAAAACCAAGCATGAAGCATATCACTTCTGCAAAACAATTACGCTGTTTAACATAAAGTCCTGGGTATTGAAAGAAGAAAAGGTATTTCAACTTTTGTGGCCGTCTCTGGGATAACTGAAATGTGCTACTGAGCGAGCTAAAAGGAAGGAACTGCCCACAACTGCAATGTTGCCTAGGGGAACAGAAGAAATAGTATACACAAAAAGCATTCGGGAGGCATCAGTCAATAATTAGTTTGTCATCATTTTTATGCTACTGAAATGACATTTTTCTCACTTTCATCATGGACAAATCCTTTACTAAGAAGTCACTTCTGAAAGGGAGTAATTCAATATGAAGAGTTTCGTATAATCATTCCCTCCTTTAACACGGAAGAGTACAAGATGTCACGAATTCAGGAGTCTCCTTCTTATTGTATTTAACATTATTACTATGGTCACAGGTTTTAAACAAATACAGGAATACAAATGCTGCTTCCTGAAAAGCTCTTGAAGACTTGTTAAAAGTAACACTAAAATTATTATAGCATACTGAAAAGCAAAAAGTCATTGCCCTACTTCAACTGTTTGCTAATTCAATTCAGTAGCCGTGCGTCCCTTCTTTTGCAAGGCTTTAAGATGACACAAAATGCAGGACTGAAAGAATTTCCTGTGTGTAGCCCTCTCATGTTGCCTGCACTTACATTATATTATCAATTTCATAAATTGATGAAAATTCTTCTATTTCAGAACCTCACTGCTTTGGTTCTTACAAACCCTTAATTCTCAGCATAAGTTTAGCCACAACTAGTTTCTACAACTTCTTTGCATCAAGGACGTCCCTTATCTTAAATAATTTCCCTAAGTAGTCTCACATTTATTCATCCCTTCTCTGTCTCTGAGAAGGCTTTATGGAGAACACTCACATTCCTTAATAGCTTTAACACAGCTACGTTAAAGAAATTAACCTCTGCTAGTCTTCTTCATGCCCTTAAAAAGTACTTAAGCACTTCTTTTTTTTCCTCTGCAACTATTCCAATTTTTTGCTTTGTGCAAAAGGTGCAATACCAAGAGGTGTTCAGCTCTGCCCAAAGTTCTTCTGAATGTCCTTGAAAGCAAGAACTCCCTGATTTTTGAAGTGTACCATTAAAAGAAGAAACTACATTTTTACATAGTATGAACTACCTGAAGAATCCAGTGCTTCCGTTTGTTTCAAGATTCAAACACTTGCTACTTTTCCTCTGTACAGTAACTGTGATTTCTCTTTTAAAGCCTGTTTCTGGTGGTGTTTTTTTTGTTTGTTTTTGCTGTAAGCCCAATGGAGTTAGGCAGAGTAAAAGCTTCAGTTGAGAACAAAAATCTGTACATTATAGATACAATTATATGTCGACCACTCATACGTATTTAATAATCTGTCTAATCATTAGGATACTGAAGCTTGAACAAATTGTCAAAGCCTGATAAAAGTTTTTTCTGATTAAGAAATATTTTCACCTAGCACAGAATTTTTCTAGAACTAATGAAGTATCTCCTGTCCTGCTACACACCACTCCCTACTTTGCCTCTCATCTTTCTAGAAAGCTTGGGAAAGGATATAGATGCAAGTCCCTGAAAAAGCAGAACTATTTCCCCCCCATATAGCTCAGAGTGACTAGCACTACTTCACTCCCATTGTCCCCGTACACAGAGGGACTGTTTTTCAGACCAGTGATTAACCTCTTCATGTCCCTGCCGATAAGGGTGCCAGCTGTGCAGAAACTGGTTTAACAATCTATTTCAGCCTGATCAAACATTTATTTTAAGAAGGGACAAGGCTTAGATTCCAAGACCTAGGGAAGGAAAACTGCAACGCAGGCTCACAGAATCAATCAGGTTGGGAGGCACCTCAGGAGGTCTCTAGTCCAACCTTCTGCTCAAAGGAGAGGAAGTTGTGAGATCAGACCAGGTTGCTCTGAGATTTACCCAGTCAGGTCTTGAAAACATCCAAGGATGGAAACTGCACCTCTAATGGTCAAACCATTCCCTTCCTTGGCTGTCCTCATGGCAGGCTCTTAGGTTTCTCTGAAGCAGTCTTCTCCAGCATCTCTTCACAGGGCAAGTCCTCAAGCCTCCCTGATTATTTGGCCCTCACCTGAACTCCATCCAGTTTCAGTTTTTTGTACTGGGGACCCCCACCTGGATGCAGTATCCCAGATGCAGTCTAGTGAGTGTCAAGTGAAAAGGGACAATCGCTTTCCTCAACCTGCTGACTCTGCTCCTGTTAAAATAGCAGATCCCAAACACCTGCTACAGAATTTTAGTGCAGAAGCCTGCAATTAATCTATAACTACACTATCACTTTAAGACCTGCCCAAATCTCCTGGAATGAGGCAGTCCACAGTGGAATGGTGATCCAGTAAGTACTGCCCATCAATCCACACAAAGTACCTGTAGAACTTACTGTCTTGTGTTTCGCTAAAAATATAAAACCACAAAATGAGTGCTATTACTCCAGCAGTAGATTGGAGTAGTCAAGGTAACGGGTTCACTACCTCTTACTGTCACACACTATCTCCAAAGTCAAACATTTAATTCCAAACACCTTTTAGTCATTCCTAATATTAAAGTGCTAGACATTCTAATTATACCAAGATCAGAACGAGAGAAATTTACTGTAGAAAGTGTTAGCCTTTTACACAGCAAACCCAGACAATCCAAACAAATCCAATACCAAAAATACCCACCTGCATGCACACGGTGTCCTTACCTTTAAAATTTCTGCTTTCAAAGAGAAAACTTTACCCTACATATTGGGCAACATAATAAAGACTTATTCCACTGTTATGAACAGTTCTTAGTCATTCTTGATACAGGTTCTTCAGCAAACACCCAGGCTTTTCACAGCAGAAGCCAATTCTGACTACCTGCTTTCCTACTATTAATTTAGCAAAACATAGTAATACCAGGAAGGGCTCCCGTGATATCAAGAACATTGAGCTTTAAGACAACATCATTCAGAAACATGCTACTTCTATGAAAGCTAGCTTATCCTGTTAAACAGCCTAGTTTTTAGTATGGAAAATAAAAAAGCCTCACGGTGACATGCAACTCCTCTTAAAAATCAAAAAGACAATACAAGAGCAACTCATTTGTATGAATTAGAGTATAAGTACTCTCCAAGGTTTCTCAAAACATTTCCTGCTCTTTGCTGTCCACTTGGCACTACCCATAGCTGGTCTTTGAGCTGCAAAATTAAAGAAGTCTAACTAGAAGGCTAGATTACAGTGCAACACAAAGTAAAAGCAGGACTATGCACTCACACACAAGCTAAACATGAAAACACCCTACAGAAATTAAAATCATCCTGTAAGACAGAATATGCTTCATGGTAAACATCAAAATCAATGTAAAATGCATTTTGAATGATGTTTCAAACACTCCTCCAAGCTTCATATGGGACAGAAGCAAGACTATAAAAATAGAGAGTTTTACTACTATAGTATTGCTACCACATTGGTGTAAGTTCTCATTAGAGACATACTGATTGCCATGCCATCATTAGAAAAGGGACATCATAAAATGACTCGCTTGATACAAGTTCCTAATGGCTTTGCATAAGGTTAAATAGATACAAGACTACACAGACTGCAACTCTTTCACATGGCACTTATTGCAGTTCTAAGTACTGCGGTTATCAGGAATCAAGAGGTAAGAATACTAAAGAAAGAACTTTGGAATTTCAATCTTGATTTTTATACAGAAATTTTATATATATTATTTAAAAGTTAGATATTCGTTGTCCAATCACATTTCACGTAAGAAAGCTGGCAAGATGATCTTAATATTTTTCCTTTCAGATGATCACCAGTAGCTGTTTGAACTTATTTCTGATTATCTATTTCAAAGCTCTTACCTTCCAAAACAGAATACTACAGTGTCGACAGAAATGCAAGGTGTCCCCGTACTGTTCCTTTATTGGGTAATATTTCTGAAGTGCAAAGTACATCAGCTTCCAGTCAATGTGACCTTTCTCTGATAGAATCAAATGCCTACAAAACTGGACATAAAATTATCTTCCTTTAAAATTGTCAAAGAACTAGTCAAATCAAGTAAAGAACTGGGGAGAAAAAAACGTAGTTAAACTGAAGTTTTGTAACTGGAATTCTTTGAAGTCAATAATCTGACACCACACATTTCTGCAAAGCAGAAAGATAGATCGAGCCGCAAAAAAAGGAAGGTAAAACACTAAAAATAGGAAGGTGCATATTTGCCAAGAAAAAGGAGGCCATACACATCTGATCTAACTCTACTGTCTTGAAATTATTCTAATTATAGTCAAGAACCATATAACAAAGCCAATATTTAGAGTCAGAAGTAATTAATTGTATACTTTTTAAAACACCACCCAGGAACGAGATTTAAAAAAATGATCATGCATTACAAGTAGTGTTTTCCTGTTCAGACAGTAACTATGAATTTAAATAATGCTTTTTCTTTCATTTTAAAAGTACATACATGATTATTTTTCACATGATCTTTCTAGAAGGATAGCAATAATCAGTGATTGATGTACTTCTTGAGGACATAACCTGCACATAAAGATTAGTTGATGCACAATGGCTATTTCTCCCCAGCCTAATACACAGCCAAGGTTTAGTAAGTATGTACTTGTAAAAGGCTTCTGTTCCACTCAGTGGGGATTAATGCTAATACATTAAAGGCTTTCTTCATTCAGAAGACAACTCCTAGATGGGGAGAATAGCACTGCCTTTCTGATTTCAGCTACACTTCACTTTGTTGCATAATAGTTTCCCTGTGTAGAGTTCTCGTTTTTTTTCTAGAAGTGCTCTTCAGATCTCAAGTATGTTGTTGTGGGTGTTTCAATAGTTCAGCAAATATACTGCAGAGGACCGGAAAAACAACCCAACATGATTCTTTAGCTTATTAAGGTAGCATACTTTTAAACAGAAGCAGCAGAATTTGATATTGGAAGAAAAATAAAATCATTAGATTTTTATTGTTAATGACCTAATAAGAAATTGAACATGAACATTCAGGAACACATTGGAAACACTGTGTACAAGTGTCCTTCATAAAGGCACAGGGCTAGCTAACTCTACTGAAATGCTTAAGTGATCTTTTTCCCCAACATTACCTTAATATAACAGCTTCCTCTCCAACCACTTCTGTCACTGTTCAATAGAGCTTACCTCATCTTGCCTCAAAATCCATTCAACTGCCACATTAAGCTTAAACTTCCCATCCTCATAACTTCACCTTGCATTCTTCTGAAGGAGGGTTTTTCAGTTTGCCTTTGTCTAGTCTCCATAAAGTTAACTCTAAAACTTTTCATCTCACCGAAATTCTTACTTGGGTCAACCGCACATGAGTTAACTGATCTTTACTTCTACTTTTCTGTTATAGTAACACTTAATCTGGTAGCCACCGACCAAATGGTACCACTTCAACCTGTCAGATTTAAGAATGCATATTTTCACTTCCTCCAGTCTGGAATGTACTAGGTTTTTAAAGTTCTTCTTCCAGCTCTGATAAGGTAACTTCTAATTTACGGTAGATATTTTTTAAAATAGCGTAACTATCAGGCTGTTTCCTTACACTAACCTCACAACATGCTGAATAAAACTTTTAGTATGAATCAAGCCCCAAAAAAGAGAACACTTTCACTATTAGTGCACACCATCATATTTTTATGTCAAAAAGGGTGAGTTCACACTTCATTAGTATACCATATTGCAAAGATAAGGGCCATATTTATGCAAATGACAGTTTATTACCTGCTTTTCCGCAAAATGGTACTGGCAGAGTTTTTTCCACAACTGTCTGTCTTCACTGAGCATGTACAAAGTCGGGGTCACTTGACCCAGAGTAATAATGTCCCAGCCATCAGAGAACCTGTATAAGATGTTATTCAGCATATGGAGAGGGAGATCGCTAAGTGTAAGACCACTGCTGACTTGCTGCAAACAAGAGTTGAAGACTTTTAACTACAAACACTTGACAGTATAAGGTGCAAATAAGATTCTTACTTTAGAGGTATCTTAGTTTAGTTCGTACAGGTCTTAGTTTAGTTTGTACAAAACTATTCAGTAGTATCTACGGTTAATTCTGTGATATTTTGATTACTTGGCTACCATTATTCTCTAACAGCTGTTGCTGAAAACTTAAATGACTACAGGTACAGAAGGAGCTACAGACTGTAACATTATAATTTACAGTTTTTCTACTGTTAAAATAAACACATCCTAAATTCTTTATTTAAACATCTAATAGTTTAAAACACTTCTGTTCTCAGAAAATAATTCGAGAGTATACAGTCTTGAAAACTACGATATATTCAATTCCACCTTTAAGAGAAGTGTACTAAAAAACCCTAACTATAATAAAGGTATGAACCAATTATTTGTAATTTGTAGGATAACTACTTTTTACTAAGAAACAAAGCACACGTTAATTTGCCTTAAGACCACTCGAGTACAGAATACAGCACAGGATACAGGACTGAAGAGCAGAAATGCAGAATGAAAACATTATGGAAGTCAGAGGCAGAAAAGAGCAGGTTCATTTCTGAAGTCTGCAGATAGTTGCCCTCACAGGTAAATGAGGAATTCTGCAGGCAGCGACAGATCAGAGCATCGAGAAAGTTTTCATTGAGAGTATCCAGCTCTGCTGAACTGTCTCTTTAACAGGGCAACGTACAGCACAACTCACACACTACTGAATCTGGAGCCTGCACTGCCAGGTGGCACAAAGCCCATCAGGGCTGGAGGCAGCATCCCAGCTGGCAAGGGCAGGAGCACGGGCAGCTGCCTGCCCCACCTAGCAGAGCTACCCAGTCGCAAGGCACTGGCAGCCCAGCAGCTGTACTCTAGCAGGCTCTCCTTTATGTCAGTTTATTTCACAACCTTTCATCTCACTTAGACTCGACTTTCCATCATGTCATCTGTTACAAATGTCTCTGGGACTTTCATTCTGTTCAGGAATGTGTGAGCATTCCAGATGCAAGATTTCTCATCAGTTATTTCAACCAGTGTAAAACAGCTGAGGTGGAAGTGGCACACTGGAAAGAAACAAACACAGCAACTGCAGTGTCTCAAAACTGCCTATGCTGTGGTTGCCTGACATATGAAAACTGCTGAGATCGGGTTCCCCATTTCTCCCTTCTATTCCAAAATTAGCTGTTTTATTCAGATACCCGGCACACACAGCAAGGACAATTTCAAAATTTCATAGCTGAAAGCAAACAGATGAAACAGGTGTATGACTTTACTGTGAGCAGTATCTTGCAGCATTTCTTCCTCCAGGAGTAACCCAGACAGGTTAAAAAAATTGCCTGCTTATCATCAGAAGTTTCCACTATAAAAACCTGGAGCAGTGCATAGCATGTGCTTTGAACAAAGTCACATGATCAGAATCCAGATACTGAAGTCATTATCCTTTTTTTACAAAAACCAATTGTGATAATGACTAAAGCAGTAAAATTGCTTCTTCAGTTATTTAATTTCTGTCTTCCTGATCCACCTCTAAAATTCCTTTCAGATTTTTACTTCTTCAGTAGTGGAAGACTTACTTTGGAATTAAAAATCGTTTGTGGTTTGTTTTTTTTTTTTCTCCCCATCTCTATCTGACAATCTAGAGATAAACATTTTGAAATTTATTTGGGTGAGAAATTACATCTATACATCTCTACCACAAACCAGCAGTACAGGCACTGTGGCAGCCCTCATTAGAAAATTAAGTTGATTCCATTTCATTGATTTCATATTACTTCTCTAAAAACAAAGAAAACAAGTAAAACTCTTTAAGATGTAATTGAAACTTTGTTCACTTACAAATTATAAACCAATGTTCAATATAATTCCCCTCCTCCAAATACTTTTTTAGCATGATTTAATAATATACCTTGTTAATCTGAAGGTTTTTTAGTTGTTGTTGCCACAGAAGGACAGTTTCTAATCGGCAAACCCAAATATTGATGTTCCCTACCAACACAGATTTTCCTACTCCCCTAAGCAGTATACAGAGAGTTGAACTCAGATCCTGTAGAAGATCTTTGATTAATCGTGGATTATATTGGTCTTCCATGACTGGAAAAAGAAAAAAAACAAACACAATTTTGGTTAACTGAGTTAACCAAGCTAATACAGTTAGCTCAAGCTAATCAACACTTTTTAAAATGAACTAATTACAACGCAACTGTTTATGCATAGATAGCTGCCCTAATTCCCACCATGACATTCGTTAATGCTATTCCATAAGTGCAAGATCAATAATTAACAATTTCACATGCAAATTTGATGTAATGTTTCATGCTATGTATTTAATAAAATTAATGCTGAACAACTAGTTATAAATCGACTTCTTCTCTTCAAAGCTGATAGTATTACATCTCCATTTAGTGTGGTTACCAGAAAAAAAATTTCAATATCATGTAATAGCTTTTTTTGAGAACAAAAAAAGCAGTTATGTACTTTAAATCTCAGTACATCATGCAAACTGAAAAACAAACATGTTACTAATCTAAAAGCTTCCACATTTCATAGAGTATAATTTAATAGTAACCAATAATTTCTGAATAGAATCTAATCATCATTTAATTTCACCAATCTGCTTCAAGAGACATGATTCAATGATCAAGAGAGAACAACTGATTGCAACTGTGGAATGGGAAGTATGAAACCTTTCACTAATTAAATATGCTATTGCTTTGTCTTACAGTGTAAAAACAGTAATAAAGCTAACAAAAAACCCCATCAACTGATAGCTTAGTCACAGCAATTAAATCCAAACAAGCAGACTACAAAATCTTAGGTCTTACCCTTCCGCACAATTTTGTCCAAAATGTTAAAGTAGTTCTTCTGTGCTGCACCACTCAGTGAAGTTAACTGGGATTTTGCAATTAACTGCAAAAGCTAGGACCAAGAATTAACTCAGAAGAATGACAGAAGTAAAGGTTGGTTTCAAATACACGCTTTCAGTACACAAATTTACCTACAGCAGCCTAGAGCACTGCAACCATTTTTTGTGAAAACATAACTACAGAGTTCAGAAAACAAAGCAAGACAAATGCAGAAAGCTTTAGGCATTCCCCCTGGCATCCCATGAACAACTCATGAAGAGATATGTACATTTCAAAATACTATCCAAATACTAGTGTTTATCTCTGTGATAAAGTGCATGACATATGGCCTTTACAAGCTGTAACGGAACAATGGAGGGAGTCTCTTCTTTTGGAGGTTCACAAATAGAAATGTGGTCTTTGATGTGGCTGGGTCCTGAACCCTGACAGATTTGGTGGCCAGGAACACCACTCTGAACTGATACCAACTACCAGATGGCCAGTCTCTGAGTGAAAGTATCATACTGGTCAAACTGAGGTATGTTGGACTGAGTGCACTGCTCAGGGAGAAGAAATGCCGTATTTTACCTAAACTGGGGAAAAAAAAATAAAATTGTATCACTCCTATATTCAGGTCCCTGGCAGAAGAAGCCACAGTGGTCTAATAATGAGCAGTATACACACTGTATTAGTAACTTCCCCTTAACTATATAGTAAGGATGTCCTAGCTGTCCACAGGTTTCTCTCTGGAACCACTATGAACAGAAGAGTGTTGAGAACAGCAGGAATTTTTTTTAACCAGAATAACTGAAGTTCTTGTACATGAATGCCAAGCTATAGCTAATAGATGCAGCCCTTGCTCCATTTTGACACCTTTGCTTTTGTGTTTTAGGTTCAGGTTTGTAGCTGACAAAGACCATTGCCTCTTCAACAAAAAGTGGTCTCTTAGTATGAAATAAAAGAGACTTCGATGTTACGACAGCATTGCAATGTTTAGAAGTGTGGCACTGAGCTTTACAATTGCCATTCATAACGCTGAGTTCAGAACAAGTGTCCTCAGTACATCAGAAAAGGAAACCAGGGAGCAGAAACCAGCATCCCCCCCAGAGTGCTCAAAACACCAACCTGCAGAGCCATGCTTTGTAGGACACCATCAACTATTGGCACAGAGGGTCAAAGACTAAGCCTGCCAAAAATTATTTTGTATCTTCATTTCCAAAACACTGATTTGACACTACATTCAACATTAATTTTCTTTTGGAGGAAGAGAGAATACACCTGTTCTCTCCCTGATTTAATAATGTGCCTTCTGGCTTCTCTGCATGATCCCTGACAAAACATTATGTGCTATGAAAGGAGGAAACAATTCTCCTGATGTATTTAAATACAAGCAATCTATTTATACCGTTTGGAACCAGATACCAGGACCTCTCTCTTGGCATTTTCAAAGCCTTTTAGTTTGATTAATAATTTAGAGCATGCCTAGAGGTCTCTGGCAGTTTGCCAATTCAAGCAAGTATGCACATTTCTCTTGATTAATTTAAAAAAATCAGTTATGCCACTCAGACTAAAAATCAAATCAAAGAAACAAATTCCACCTGGCTAATTTTAATGAAGATTCCATTTTCAGTGAAGGTTAATATGCAAGGATTAAGACAATTTTAGCAGATGCAAAAGTACGAGGATCTGACACGAGTTCAGTCTTACCAAGACACACATAGCCATGGCTTACGTTGTCTACTAGAGATTACAACTTTGAGTGGATCAACTGTTTATTCAAATGGCAACATTTTGAAAAAAAGACCATCTGTATCAAACTCCATGTGTCAGACATTTAACAGCTAAGAAATGATCATTATACTACAGCAGAAACAAGTACAAGAAAAATTCTACCTCTTCCTGCCACTACCCACCCTAAAAGGCTCCCAGGCAGACATCTGTATAAGCTTTTAATAATGATTGAGAGGTCTTTAGTCAGTTGGAGAATCAAAATGGATCATCTTGGTGGTCTGGGATCAAAGAAGAGCTATCCAGTAGGGCTTGGTATTTTAAATAAACTTTTTAAACAAGATGTATATCTTGCTATCTTAAATGCAAGAAGCAGAACACCACACAAAAGTAATCATCATTGTGTTCATGCATAACTAGGAATAATTCTTAGGGGAGAAGAATAGGAACAGCTGCACTGCATTAAATGAGATCTACACAAAACATCTCTACCATTAGAAATTTCAGGGAAGTAAAGAGAACTTGTATAAAGCAGTTAAGTATGGTATGACCTGCTTCTTACATTAGCTCTCAGTTGCAGACTGGCTTAAAAACCGCTAAAAGCAGATTAAACATCCTCTTTAAAAATCTCTTGCAACTTCACATTTTACTGACATCCACACAGACGTTTCAATTTGTTAGATACACCACCACAAATGTTTCTCAAGTCAACAAGTTCCACAGCTATATTGATCGGTAATTTGTATTGATCATGCTTATTAGCAGCTCAGTAACATTTAAGGTCTTGGATGTACAGTTTCTGTACCTGTTAATAAAAGTCAGTTTGCCTCCATCACCTCAGAGGAATTGATGAAAAGTTTTAATTAAGTTTTTGTAACTGTAGAACAATTCTAAAATTTTAAAACTTTCAAATAAATTTTTAAATGTTAAAAGAATTTTGGAAGTCTGCCTGCTATTCTAAATCCATCCTAATTTCTTAGGGTCTACCATTACTCTAGTAACAGTTTGGATCAGAAAGCCAAATTTCTGAATTTTAAAATATTGCTCCTTTCTCAACATTCTTAAGCCTGGCTGACTAAACCAGACCAAGAGAAATTGGTCAATATGCTTATGTTAGACTTTGCACTTTGTTCTGATCAACTGTTTGAGTAACCCATCTTAGGCACAGCAGCATCTAAAAAACCATATAAAATTCTAGTTCTGGATTCATTCTACCTGTTTACCATTCAAGTGAGGCACTCAAGGTTGACACCATTTGTAAGACAAATCACGTTTTTTAGATGCTTCCTACTGTTCAAGGTTGAAAAGTGTTAGGAAAGATCAAGGTTCTTGTTTCCGCTCCCAAAACAGAATCAAAAAGGAACGTTCTAAACTACAATGTATACATATACCAAAAAATCTGCAAGGGGAATAAAACAGCCAAGTACCCTAACCACTAGCCTGGATGCAAATCCTTTTTGCTTTGCTTCCTTTGGTCCCACATCTCTTGTTTTTCTGAAAGTATAAGAGACACTCTCAGCTTCACAAGGATGGGTAGAATATGTTTTCTCTCCAAATATTCCACAGCCTAGTGGTAAGGGTGTTCTCCTAGTATGTGTATTTAATTTTGATTTGTGTCTTTTCAAGTTCTGGATGCATTCCAACCACTACATTATTTGTGAACAGCCTCACCCCTGAACTGAACTCTAGTCCTGATATGTCTCACATTTTGAGCTTCTCTAGGAGTTGGGACAAGCACTTTACTACCTCAAGTTAGATGACAAAAAAAACACTTGGGGCTAGAGAAAGTATCTCCCAGAACAGGTATTTCCAAGTGGGCAGCTGGTTAGGAATCGAGGAAATTAAGGCATAACATCATGTGGCTCCCTAAAGCACAAGTTACATAGTTTTATAAAAAAATAAATTATAAAACTTATTTCTGGAAGACAAAAAGAAAGGAAGACTAAAAAAGCTGGAGTCTCAAATTTTAAGGGATGTTAACAAAGGTAAATGCGTATATGTCTTGTCCTAGAAAAAAAAAAACCTGTGCAATGAATCACAGGACTGTTAAGAAGCTGCAGAAAAAACAGAAACTGCAGAATATTATTCTGGAAATTGCTATTTTAAGCATATTTAAGATGTAGTAAAGTATATCTAAGATGTATTAAACTTTGCTATTTTTGGTTGCATAGGAGTTGTTTTGCCTTTAAAGCAAGTTCACTACCCAGACTGACGAACAACTGAAACTACCACCAATGTTTCCCTGTAAATACATAGCATACTGGCCATCACCATCCTCGTCAAGCTACAGGCTTTCATAGAGCAATATATTGAGTTTTCACCAAAGAAAAATTACTTGGTTTAAAGTTGCTTCATGCAGTATAAATTACAGATGAACAGGATATTTATACAGTCACAAATCATCAGCTGTTCAGTGCAAAATTATTTCTTTTATACATATAGGCAGATCAGCAAATTAATTTTTAAAATACGCATATAAAATAAAGAGCTTACTTTGACCACGTAATTGAACCTTCTGATGTCCTGAATTGCACTTGAAAAGTCTAAGCGGTTAAAAGCTTCTCCCAAAGTGCAATAGCCATGTCTCTGAGAAGAAGAATAAATACATTTTAAACAGAAACAAATAAAGATAAAACTGAGGAAGATATTCCGAAAAGCACTCTGCCATGCAACTGATGCATATGTATACCATGCTCCCTGGAAATATAATGTATCTGAACTGAAGATTTATTTAATTTCTTGTAGAACAAATGAAACCAGATATGCTATTTGGAACTAGCAGATACATCGGCAATATTACTCAACAGCAAGGCCTTTAAATTCATACTAGTCGTGCAATCTGTGATCACCGCTATTTGAGCATCCTGGGAATCTACTCCACTATTGCATGGCCACAATGCTGGCACTCTGTCATTGCTATCACACTCCTCATTTGCCTCAGCACAAGGTAGAGCTTGTTTGTACAGCAGTCTGAGCTTACAATCAGAAGCACTAACTGACTGAGTTTATGTTCACATTTGAGGGTAAGAACACAGCCACTTGCTCCTGGGATTGGAAGAACAAATGCTCTCAACATCTAGAACTTACTTTCAGGGTGCTAGAAGTTTAGGCACAATTCTTCTTAGGTACCAAGAACAAGAGCAATTGCATTTTATTCTGGTACTTCCGCACAAGTGTCTTAAGGTGAAAATGGAAGTTTCAGAGACTGTTGTGGAACTACTTAAGGTGGTAGCTGCAGCCTGAAATAACATTGGATCGTACAAGCCGAGTAAACTTAGAGCCACAAAGCCACACAGGAGCCTTGGAGCAAATACAATGAGGTTAGAAACCTCACAACTGGGGAAAGAGATACTTGCAGAGCAGTGTGCTATTATGGCTTATCAGCCCAGGAAAGGAAGGGGATAAATAATTATTTTAAGTTCATTCCTAGACAGACTTCCTTGGTGAATTACGTGACGACGAAAAGATAGTAGTACAACTTAACATTCCTTTTTGCATCTCAATGAAAGCTTACCCTGGGTGTGCTCCAGTGGGACAGGAGACAGTTAACTATTCACTGCAGAGTGGTGGTCATTAACTGATAGGCAGTAATTACCAAATTCAGGATTGTACTGCCTGCTCATCCAGTTAATACACCTGAGATCCAAGCGTGCTACCCACTTCACAATACGCACAACTTGGTTGGCTAATAGCAGTGAACTTACACTTACGTAAGGCAACAAAACTTTTCTTGAAATTTAAGTATTTGTGTCTGTTCTCTGGCTAAAGAGTTATCAAAAGGCCACGCTTAAATACATTAATGAGAGGTACGTTTCCTTGAACAGCTGGAAGCAGATTTCTATGAAACTTCAGCTCTACCCCAACGTACCATCATGACAAAATTACTCCAAGAGCATCTCCTACTTCGTTTCGGCTATATACTTACACTTGTTTTGGTTTTCTTTATGCTATAGGAGAGCACTGAAAACGTTTCATGTGTTTCTTATCAAGATGTTCCTACTCTTGTCATTTTGCCCTAAAATTCACTATCCTAGTTTCAAGACAGCCATTTTGAAATCAAGTAAGATTACAACCTGTAAGGAAAAGTAGAGCCTCTGTAAATTATGTTTTAGATTAGCTTAAATTGTCGCTCTGAATTTTTTAGTTCAAGTGTACTTACTCCTTGCTACTTTTTCATTCCGCTACTCAATTTCTAACTTTTTACTTTAAGCTTTTGAATTTATACAAGGAATTACTTGAAAAAGATTAGTGATTAATTCTCACCATCCCCGTTTTGTTTTTTATATTAAAAAACAGGAAAGGTGAATGGTCAATTATTAGAAGACAACAGCAGTGACAAGAATAAGCTACTTTGTACACCGCAAGTATTTTGTCCAGTCTGTGACTGGACAAGAAACCCAGGCAAATAGTCACACATCACTAGTATACCAACTTCTGCACTAGTAGGGAAAAAAAATAATCCCAACGTACAGGTTATAAAAGACAACAATGAGTGATTTTAGGCAATTTGTGGTTTGGCCTGAATGTAGTTTGAAAACTCAGCTTAACAATCTTATTCAAAACATTGTAATGACTGGTGACAGCCTGTC